TGGCTTCAGTTGAATATTGATCTTTAAAATCCTCTGTATCAAAGTATGTATTTGAATCCAATATTTTTTAAAGCTTTTTTACAGGTCCACCAAGCATGATAAAATGTCTCTTCATGTCCCCAAAAATGCTTTTGTACACAATTATTTCATACATTTCTATAGCTTACATCCAGGCAGAGTTCCTGCCAAATATCAAAGATCATCTTGAGTTAAATATGAAACATTCACCCTCTTCTGTTGAAAAGAACAACAAATAGAAATTGTGATGGCTTTTGGTATGAATTTACATTCTTTTCTCCTTGAATGATGATCACTTTTCCGAAGCTACCGAACCAGAGTTCACAGCCAGGATTGCAACAGTGTTCTTCTCAGTCCAACTTTCTCTCTGTTATGTGCCACATTATAACTTCTAATAACATATCCTGTTTCCAAACTTTTATCTAGATTATATGTTGTAAACCACTCAGAGTCAGAAATCATCATCATCATCATCATCATCATCATCATCATCATCATCTTACTGATGTTTTTTCAACCTAATCCTGGGTTGGTGAAGGATTATGCATTTGGAAATGCAACACATTTGAACAATGCCATGTTGGGTAAAACTAACCTAAGATTTTTCTAATTATTTCCCTTCTTAGATATGCCTGCTTTAACGAGATTTACTTTTTGGTATCAAGGGCATATGTGATAGCAATAAATTCTTATTTAGCTGGGAAAAAAAACGGCTAATTAAAGCAATTCAATTTTAAAATTGAACACAGTTTTTAAAACTTTCTGTGTTTATTTTCTGCTGTTATTTAACACGTGCAAATAGTGATTGGCCCAGGGATATCTATAAAGTAGAAGAGAAACCCAACACAATAAAATGAAAATGTTGAATCCATAATGCACCTAATTGTACAAAATGGCCAAGCAAGGATGGAGATAGGGAATCAATGCTTTCATATTGAATAAACCTAAAAAGGGGAAAAAACCAACTTCCAGTGTGAAATGTAGGTGATATTCTAGCAAAATGCAAAACTGGGGAATTTAAATCAAGCAGCAGCTTTGGAAAACATTGTCTTGCCACTCAGTCTTGACCATTCTATGGCATGAATATTAAGGCTAGGAAAACAGAATGACAGAAACAAGGAAATGATAGATAGAAGCATATCATTGAACTTTCCTGGCTTCTTTTAATGGATTTAATAAAATTTGGCTTGATTAGTTGTTGGTTTGTCAGCTGGAATTAATATTTTTGGTAGGAAGAAAAAAATTATGTGTAGAGTTTGCTTTGGGACTGTTGACAGCTCTTGAGGAAATCAGTTAATTTGATTTGAAAATCTCATACAGGCTGTAAAAATAGAGGCAACTTGCGGAAACAGTAAAGAGAGAAGGAGAACAAGGCCAGGCGTGAGTAAAGTGAAGATGGGGAAAGAGGAAGGGAGAAACATGTTCCAGGATAGGGCAGTGAGGGCCAAAAACTGAGGTAGAAATCATCTGGAACTTCAGGATAGGAAAGACTGGATGAAAACTTGACAACTGTCATTGTGTCTTGGACTGATTGAAGATGCTGCTTGAGATTAATGACAGACTAAAGCCACTTCCACTCCACCTAAAGAAACCGGTTGAACTGGCAATGAAGAACCATCCTCCACCATGATTAGGACAGCCAGTATACGAAGAGAGAGATTGTTGCGGCCATCACTCTCAACCCCTTTAGCAGCTAAGACAGCTATCTCAAGGTCTTCAATAACAAGGCCAGGGCAAAAGCAGCCTTTTACACAATGGTTTGCAAAAAGCAACCAATGTTTTGTGTAGCTGAAGTTGTAAACAGACTGAACAGCCTTGAGGATGTAGTTAGAGAAGGGAAGAAAAGAAAGAAATCAACATGACAGGGAAGATGCATTTTATTAGTTTTATTAACAAAATCATTGGGACCTTACTTGATAAAGAACAACACTTTACTCCATAAAAAACATCTATTTAGTGAAAAAAAATCACAAAAACTGGTTCCCCCTAATTATTTTGAAATTATTTTGAAACCCAGAGTAGTATCTTTTTTGAAATGCCTCTTGCTTTATTTTGGGTTGCCACCTTTTAAAAAGGTAAAGATGCACACAAACTGAGCTTGATTCCCTGTGACACCAAGGACATCACCATGCAGTTTTCTTGGCAGCAGTATCAAAGAGATTTGTGATTGCCATCTTATGGGGTGTGTTTGATTGACCTCCCAGTCCTAGTCTACAGATGTGGGATTTTTTGATTACTTCCTATCCAAGTACTAACCAAGCCAAACCTGCTTAGCTTTCCAGCCCAGATAAAGTCAACCAGATGCTGTCTCCTGCTAAGACAGCTAACTTTTAACTTGCCAGATTATGGGCTGGACTGACTTTCTACAAGTCATTTCTACTACTAGTTGATCCAATGCTTGATGAGATATGACCTCTTAAATAAATAACTTGAGTGACATGCATGGTCAAAAATTTTTCTCCTGTTATTTCTTGAGTTACTTTAAATGATTAAATAAGCCATTGGAAGAGAAGTCAGTAGAATCCATTGTTATTATTTTTACATGGTCACCATTATTCCTACCTGAAAATTCCAGGAGAGTATAGGAAACCATCTATTTTTCATCTTGCACTTGCATCTGAGGGTTTTTTTTTTCCTGCCCTGGAAAGCTTTCTGTCTCTTATTCAACCACCTCATGTAAAATGTATAAAAGATCAAACTTGGAGCACACCATCCAAAAACACATTTTTGATGGCCTTTTGCTTGCATGCTTACACTTCCCAAAATATAAACCATTCCTATAAATTATGTTACAAACAGTAGCAACCCTCAAGTTGCTTGATCCTTGCCCCATTAAAACAAAGAAACAATCCCACAGGTATTCACCAGAAGCTTTTGCTGTCTTCTGAAACATATTAAGAAGATTCAGAAATAAAAGCGCTTACATTATTTACATTGACATTGGATGAGCAATTCTGGGTACAAGAAGCAGAAAAGAATGCTTTTCTCTATGTTTCATCCATAAGGAGAGAGCAGCTCTAACATGGTCTCAGGATTCAAATGATCAAAGAGCATAGATTTGCCCACTTGAAACTGTTTTGACTTCACTCATCCCTCTTCCTTTTCTTCCAAATTTTCATTTCCTCCCATCCGTCAGATTCAAAGTTTTACCTTCACCCTGGGATTTTGCTTAAGCTAGTGAGAAGTTTAGATCTGGAACCTAATTTAGATGTTGCACAAATAAATATGAGCTTTGATAAACTTGATGGTAGAAAGGGTGCTGAATAGCAGGTGTTAGCACATAGCCAGGTGATCATCTCTCTTGGTGTGTATACCTTCTAAATGATGACTCAGGTTTGAGTCAACCATCTTAGGTACAAGGGAGGATAACTCACAGACTCATACATGCATAAAAGAGATAATTGCTACCATCTATTGGTAGTAAGAACACAGATGTGCAAACATTATGTTTTTGGTGCCCTGTGCATGTAATGATACAGTGTATATTCTATATAGCAGGAGCTGTGAAAACACCAGGCACTTGGATTGTCAATAGTATCAGTGCAGACATTCACTTGGATTGCACTACTGTTCTTTAATATGCAACATGTATGGGAAGTCATTTTTCTTCTTCTTTTTCTCTGATTTTTGTTGCACAGCTCCACTTTCAGTCAACTACTTCTATCAATACATTTCCCATAGAACTGCCCCATTTGTAGCCATTTAGCATTATGGCAGATCTGTGTCCTTTCCATAAAATATCTTACATTTCTATCGTCCAGGCCCATTCAATAAAAGAAATGGAATAATTCCCTAATTAGGATATGTACAAAAAACCATATATAACTGCTTTGCTGGGAGAGACTTTTGTGGGTGGGAGGTTAAAAAAAAAGGTTGGAGTGACCATGTAATTGAATAGGTTGGACAGTAACCCCTCTTGTGGGTGACTCTGTTTGCTGATATGTAGGGGGAAAGAGCAATTCTTGTTTTTTTTTTAAAAGACAGATAATTTGATTTTGGAAACATTTTATGTCACTTGCTTGGAGCAACACTATCTATAGAAATAAGTCTGCACTGAAGAGTTTAGAGCAGGGTTCGTCAACCTCAGCAACTTTAAGATGGGTGGACTTCAACTCCCAGAATTCCCCAGCCAGCAGTTGCTGAGGTTGAGGAACCCTGGTTTATAGTATATCAGCCAAGACAGAATTTTCTTTGGTGATAACATTGTTTCAGATAATGTGCTATTACACTATCTATAGAAATAAGTCTGCACTGAAGAGTTTAGAGCAGGGTTCGTCAACCTCAGCAACTTTAAGATGGGTGGACTTCAACTCCCAGAATTCCCCAGCCAGCAGTTGCTGAGGTTGAGGAACCCTGGTTTAGAGTATATCAGCCAAGACAGAATTTTCTTTGGTGATAACATTGTTTCAGATAATGCGCTATTTCCTTTGGCTAAGGACTTTGAGCCAGGACCTGCTGAAAATCAGCAAACCTGAGGTGTAGCAAAACTGGAGGAACCTCTGATAACGTACAGACTATACTATCTCTACCAAGGAATAACAAGTCCCTGTCTCTCTCCTTCCCAGGGAAGTTTCCTCTTCCTTGTTAAAGTAAGGGGCTTCTTGAGAGAGAGGCAGGTTTGGTTCACTTGGCAGAAAAACATCTACTATGTCCACATTAAAGAACATGTTACAGCAGCCACCATTTATGGAAATAATGCAACTTCTCCAGGACTACAGACCTGCATCCCTAACAGGTTATCTTTTCTTGTGCTGGAAATTACAGCCTGCATTTGAAATGGAGGTTGTTTTCCATCACTGCAGGCCATCAGATGGTCTCTTGTCCTACTATGACTCCCATTTCGGAAGTTACAGCTGGTGCAGAATGCAGTGGTGTAGGCAGTGATGGACATGCCTTGTTATGCCCATGTGACCCCACTGCTCTGTGAGCTGCTCTGCTGATCAGTTAGCTTCCAGGTGCAATTCATAGTAGAAAGGCCTTCATGGCATAAGGGCTGGTCATTTGAGGGACCACCTGTCCCCAGTTATTTCTGTTCCTCGGGTGGGATCAGGCATAGTGAGCATGTTTTGGGTCCCAACAATTGACCAGGTCATCTTGTGGAACCCAGGAAGCATGCCTTCTCCGTTGGGATGCCTGCTGTCTGCCTCCAGAGATCTGGATGCTCCTCCCTTGATGACATTCAGGACATTATCAAAGCTATTCTCCCAGGCTTTGGGTTGGGGTGAAGGTTGCATCTGGATGGGCTTTTGTTTTTTTATATGTTCTCTTTGGGCCGCGAATGGCCTCATTTTTGTTTTTCTTTCCTTTTTACTTTTAATTGTAAGCCGCCCAGAGTCATTGAGAGTCAGGTGGTCTATACATTGTATAAATCATCATCATCATCATCGTCATCATCATCATCATCTCTGTGAACACTAGCATCTACAGCTCCTCAAATTATGAGCACATCCTATTCCATCTCATGTGGTGCTTTATGATGTCTCTTGTGGTTTTCATTCTTGGTTTTATCACTAGCTTCTCGCTTCCTGTGGTGGTTCCTTGCATTCTGCATTCAAGAACTTATCTTTGAGGGGAAAAGTGGATCAGCCACACTTCACTGTGGGATATATATACATTTTCTTGACATGCACATGATAATGAGTAGTGTCAGATTTTCAGAGGAAGTCGCCTAGCATGCAAGGAGTCAGCTAAAACTTTCACATCTTGGTAACTTTCTGGGACACATATGAAAGTTCCTAATATGAAATTAATTTTTATATATCTTTCAAACTGAGTTTTTTTTAATTACTGGAAACCCCTAAAAAAGATTGGCCAGAATCAGCATAAATTTCTCTGGGTGCAGCAAAAAGATTTTTTTTTTTTCCGGAGTAATTTGGATTGAAAAAGGTAACAAATCTGCACGACATGCTATCACAACCTTAAAGGAGAAACAGTTGCAAAGGAAAGAGGATAAGGCTTGGCATGCAATCCAATCAAATGGATGTGAAACACTGATATGAAGCAAAAGGGCTTAGCGCTTCCAGGACAATGGGAAAACAGTACAAAACACAAAATTATAGATCACACCATGGTCTTGGAATAATACACAAATATGTATGCCCCACACCACTTTGCATTAAATGTGAGGCTGACCAACTGCTGAATTCCTCATCTCCAACCTCTGCTTGAGCTCGGACACCAGAGCACTGTGGTTTGTGAAGAGAGCTCTCTTTTTCTTTCCCTGCTTATTTAGGAGCTGAGGGCTCAGGGATCCTGATACCGTGGGCAATTTCCAGGTGGGATCTTGGGTCTTGAAGACCGGGGCTTGCAATGGAGTTGGCACCGAGGGCGGTGGAGGTGGCAGAGAGAGCACCTGGGAGCTGTTATTGCTGTTCTCATTTTGCAGACTGGCGGCCTCCCCTTCGACAGTAAATTTCTCTGCAGGGTTGCTGGAGGACCTCTTGAATCTCAACCACTCCATCCTGATGGTCCGAGGTTGATAATTCTGCCTTTTTTTGATGATCCGTCGTGCTGGCATGATCTTGGGAGACCGTTTATTGCGCCAGAACATGGCGGTAGAGATCAAAAGAATGATCATCACCATTACCCCGATGATGCCTGCAAGCACTCCTAAGGCTTTCATGGGGTTATCTTTAGTTTGCATCAGAAAGGCAGCCATAGGCCCTTTGTGAAGAGTCTGTAAAAGAGTACAAAGAGAACAGGTGACATCCTCCGGACATAGACACAGATTGCATTTTCATTGGTCCCAAACACGTGACAACTAGAATGGATCAACCACCTAAACCATTTCGATTTTTGGCACTCAGTTCTAAAGATCATGAAGGCTAAAGGGAACCCTGGCAATTAAATACTGGAGCCATTTGTCCAGGATGCAACAGTAGCGCTCAGATCTTTCCTACGCAATGCTGATAGAATTTGTTAATTGCAAGTGGAAACACATCCAGAAGAATCCTTGAAATAGGTAACCACGTGCCTGCCTATTCTACAAATTAGCCCAATGTTCCCACTTCTCAAAGGAACTGGAGGTTTGAGAGGCAGGAGCATGATAACCCACAGAAAATGTTCAATATCAGTAGATTATAGTTCCTTGGATTCTCTGAGGAATTCCATCACAAGCTGGAGTCAAACTGAGATAATTTCATAAGATAGACATAACTTGAAGGTGCTCATCCTCTTGAGTCTGAATCTCAAGAAAGCAAAACAATATTTTTAGGGCAATAGGATTTGCTCAGCATATTGCTGAACTTTCAATATCAATTACTTGGACGCCGTCAAATCAATTTTCAACGGCTGAAATTGAGCATGTTCTGTTTTCCAGTACTCTTTTACAGACATTGACAAAAATAAAACAAACCGCCTTGACACTGAGATAATCCATTTCAGTTGAAGAGACAGGCTGAGTTTTTTTCTAGGGCAAACTCCCAAGTCAAATAATATGCACTGTAGTCTCTCAAGAGGTCATATTAAGGACAAATGAATGAAAAGTTCGTTTAGCAATTTAACACAAAGAGCGCTGTGGTGGCCTCCGAATAATTTTCCTGATTTTGCTTTCAGGATGAAGCCTGGATCTTTTCAAACTTTTCCAGTATATGGCAGTGGAGATCACCATGGTTAAAGAAATGGTAGAGAGGAAACCACACGTGCAGATTGCAAATACTGTCCATGGATGTTTCTGCAGGCCTAAAATATAGGATTTTACCCTTGATTTGATCTGAAAACAAAATAAGATGGATCAACGCATAAACACCAGTCATAAAATAAGCTCATACCGCTCCTTGCTTATTAAATGCTACCTTTGGTTATGAGGATGTTCTTGGTCTTTTAGAACATTGACAAGAAAAGTGATGTAAATGTAATCACGACTTTAATTTGAAGCTAAAAGTAGTAAGGTTGTGTAACAGCCTGAATCTAAACATAATAAATAGACTGCAGGACTGGATGTATACAGATAAAGAAGAAATTTATAGAGCGATTACTTTAGTGGTTCTGCTCTTTTGTGCAAGAATACTGCTGTAGCTCAGCCTAAATTAAATATATTTTTTTCCGGTGAAGATACTTGAGGTCTTAGGCCATAGTTAGAGCCTAGAGTAGAACAGAAAATACCACTCTCTTGAACTGGGAAACAGGGGAATACAACCTCTGTTATTTATATTATATTTATATTATGGCAAGGCATTGTTCTCCTAGTAATTGCAAATCACAGTTATCAATATGGCTTCCACAACGTGCTGGAACCAAAATTGTCATTAGGAGTCATTCCTTTCCTACAAGATATGAAGCATTTATATAATGGTGGGAGCTGCAGAAAGAAAATATGTAGAGGCAGTTCTGTGTAGGATGGAAACTTTGAAAACCAATTTGACTTGGTCAGAACATTTTTCCCAAGCCCCAATATATAAAAAAATAAGTCCATGGAAAGGAAGAGCCAAGTATTCTAGTTACAACTATGCACAATTCTATATGCTTTCTGCCCAGAGGAATGAGAAGACCATTTTGCAAAACCCAGGGATGAATTAGACAGGTGGACTTGTTTGACCCCTCCTGTGAAATCTCTTTAAAATGTTCTCCATGAGTCATCTTCATTACTTCGGTTGTTGGACATGTCGGACTGCAGATGTACAAGAAGGATCTTCTAAGGTGCCTTCACATTTGCTCTTCTGCTGTCAATAAATCTTGGAGCAAATGGACAGCTTTTTTTTTACCTACCACAGTGAAATCATGCCTATTTATTCCATACAGAATGGAAACCCTTATATAACCTGAATGCGTTTTAATAAATGCCCATATATTACCTAGACATTCTGGTGTTCATTTAAAATTCTTGTCTATGTTGTAGTTATCCCATTTGTCCATGCTCATTTGTTGGTTTGTTCATAAGATTAATAAGCTGCTTCTTCAATAAAAACCATCAAAAATGCAAACAATGTAATACTGAATAAACTGAGAGGAGAGAAGGGAGAGGCAAAAATAGGAAACAGAACCATCATAAAAAAACACTGACTGAATCAGGGCATAGAAAGAAGTCAGGTGGAAAGTAAACTCATAACCCATCTCCAAACTTTGCCCCTGGAGAGTGGGCTTCCAGTTCTTAGTCAAGAATTAGTGAGGAAAGAGAAGAGGCTGGTGGGGCTCCCAAGAGAGGGAAGTTCTAGTTCTGAGTGACCACCGTGTTTTCAAGAACCTCCAGGCATCTTTCAAACTGCACTGGAACATGAATCAGGGTTTCCGCTGCCCATTTCAATGGCTGGCTTAAAGGAAATCAGGCTTTAAGCTATTTTGGGTTTAGAACATTTAGGGTTTTAAAGGCCATCATAGAAGTACTAAGAAGTAGAATTTTTAATTGGGTGTAAAAATGCGAGCCAGTTCAGAAAGAATGGGGTGGGATCACAGGCTCACACTGAGAAGCTGTCATCATTGTTATGATAATGGTACTGCTGCTGTCAAAATGGGATGATTAGTCCAGGTACTAACTTTGTGAACCAACTAAACTTGAGCAAAGGCCTTTCTAGTCAGAGCAATCACTTGTCCACGAACAGAGCTGGATCTAGGAGCCTCTCAAAACAAAATCTCCCATCCATGAGTGGTAATGCCAAAGGAAGTTGGATCACCCAGTTAGGTTTCTTAGAAGATATTTCTGCCCTGGTTGGATTAAATCTCTATTTATTAGCCTCAGAGCATCTGCTGTCTTTGTGGAGAGAACTGATAAAGAATAGAGCTGTGTGTCACCTGCATCATGACCTAGATCTTCAGGCAACATCTTTCAGAGTGTGGAATGGACTGGAGCCCGGAAGGGATACTCAAGGAACCAAAGCAACACCTTTTGGACTCTGACTCCAGAGAAGACTATTAATTGCAGTTCTCAATAAAGTAGAATGTTTCTATCGGATCATACTCCAAGATTTTATCCAACCTCAGTTTAATACAATTAATACATGCTGTGCACCTCAAATTTCTCTTTTGCTTTTCAGCCATCTACCTTGGCTTCCCACTTTGCCTTTCCTCATTAATTTTATCCTCTTACCTCTTCCGTGATGTCAATTTTCAGAACAGCTGTAGTACTAAATGACGGAGACCCCCGATCTTTTGCTTGGATAACCACTGACCATATGCAATCTTTCTTCTTGGTGATGTTGTGAATGATGTCCAAGGATCGTATGTAAGATTTCAGTTTTATTTCTCCAGTGCTTTGGTCAATATCAAACACATTGGCTGGATCAGCTTGCATAATGGCATAGTCAACAATGTTATTAGGTTCTTCTGCATCTTGGTCTATTGCCTGTTTGGTTTTTTTCCCCCCCAGATTGATGAAAAATAATGTTTTAATAAATGTTAGTCTACTGTAAAGAAGGCAAGGAAAAGAATTCACTTAATGACTAGTTATTGTATTTCCTATCTGGGCCCTGATGCCACAGCCCATTTCCAGATTATAATTTAGTGGAGTGGAATCCCATTGGATTCTGGAAGCAAACTTAACTATTACAATTTTGAAATCACATTTTCTTTTCAAAACTTAGCTATTCTATACCCCCCCCCTTTTTTTCCAGTTTGCAAAATTGGACAATGATGCAATGGTGAATAATTGCAATGGTGAAATAGAACTAATCCCTCATAATAAATTTGAGGGGATGGGGGAAGCTGGAAGGAATCCAAAGTTTTTAAAAATAAATATCCTTTTCATTTATCTTTCACAATAAGCCAGTACCACTAAATAAAGGCCTACCAAACCTATCTCAAAATTCAGAGAGAGAGAGAGAGAGAGAGAGAGAGAGAGAGAGAGAGAGGAGATTTCTCAACTATCTCAGTTTCTTCATTGCTCAGTTGCAGAAGGTTCTCAACATTCTACTGTGTCCCCCAACTCCTTTCAAGAGATGGCATTTTGTTTTTCTCTCCATCTGCAAGCTCAGCGTTTTCTGCTTTCATAACTATTTCCCATCTATGTCTACAGGAAAGTACAAAATATTCTCTGAAGTATCTTTAGGAATGAAGTTACACTTCATCTGGACTCTTGCTGGCACTATTCATTAAGAAGAATAACTTCTATTCTTATTTACTTAATTCTATCACTTACAAGTTAACATTGCCCCTTGGAAATATGGTATTATTTAGCAGGGCTGTGGAGTTCTTTGGATTCATTTCCAAAAAGGTACCTTTGAAAGGCACTTCATCTTTTCTCAGGTTCATGTGGAATCTGTGATCCTGGGAAAAGATGTAGCTGCTTTCAAGAGTTGTAGACAAGTGCTGTCTTCATGCTGTCATGTTCTCCAAACCACCTTTCTGGAAATGAATCTAAAGCACTGCTCAGCCCTATTATTTAGCTTTAAAGCTTCTTCTTCTCATGAACCCCCACATCACAGAGAACAACAGTATTGTGACCCACCTCAACTTTTACCGGGGATCCAATAATCATGGTTTTTTCCTGAATATTCTCACTGAACTCTGGAGAGTGATCATTGACATCAAGCACGGTGATGAAGACTTCAGCCAAACTATGCTTCCCTTCTATGTCTTCTGCCTTCACATAAAAATGGTACTTAGAGTTGTTTTCTGCATCCAACATAGCCCATGGCTGAGTGTAGATAATCCCAGCAGATGGGTGAATTAGGAATCTGGGGGTGGGGGGGAATGGGCAAGGATTATGTTTATCAAGTACACAGAAAAAGAAGCACCCCATTCCTCAGAATCACTATGGTCAAAATGATTTCTCTTTGTTGCTTCTGCTTGCCTAGGTTGGAGATTATTTATCAACTGATTCAGTTACATATCCCGTTAATCATTTTTCTGTACATTCAAAGCAACACACAGTTAAAAATTTACATAATCTACTATTCCAGAAAGTATTCAGAACTACAGTAATAAAGTACCCATTCAGATCTGAGACTGGTTTATTTTTTAACAGTTTCAAAAGCCATTTTCAGTAATCAATCAATCAATCAATCAATCAAACACATAGGACAATGAGTTGAAGGGCTGGGTTGACTGCCTTGGGAAGAAGAGTCACAGAATAGTGGAGTTGGAAGGGACCACGTAGATAATCTAGTCCAACCCTCTGAAAACCAGTTAAGCCATTCTTGAGAGCTAAGCTGGGTCAGATTTGGTTATCAATTAGATGGAAACCACTAGAATATCTCAGAGTTGTAGGTATGAACCTGGATTGAATACTCTATCTATCTATCTATCTATCTATCTATCTATCTATCTATCTCTTGAAGAAGTTGATGGCGACGTTCATCTCATTGCCAAGAAAATTTCATTTAAGTGTCAGTGCAATCAACACATCTTGAGTTGCATTTTTTCTTTCAGTACTCCAAACAGAGACCCTCGCAATGCTAGCAAGAGTATAGTGAGACATGCAATATGTAGCATGCAGTTCACCAGATCTAATTTATAATATGAAATGGTGAAGACTATTTCTTACTGACTGCTATCCTATGGAATATAAATGGTAGGTTTTGCATTTAATGTCTGACGCAGTATGATCTCATCCATACCTGCCTCACTCTGGAGACTGCAATCACTCTTTCATTTCAAATTATAGACTTATAATTGACTTTCATATAAACATTTGATTTGGACAAGAAAGGGGAACCAGGAAAATTTTGTTCCTTCCTTGTTCCTTGCCCACTTTAGAATAAGGTTGGTAAGAAATAGAATGCAAATTACCATACTTGAATATGATGAGCATTTTCTTTACTTTTATTGCTCCTCACATATAAAATTATTGCATTTGCCTTTAGAATATTCTATTTATATTAAAATTGTATATATTTATATATGCATACCCTTACAAACAGACATATTGGAAACTTACAGATCTGCTCCTGTCCCATAAATTGAGTATTTTAATTCACCCCAAAGGCCTGAATCAGGATCAATTGCCTTAGGAAGAAAATTGAATGATTAAGATGGGAATCAAGCCAACACTCATATTATGCAGAAGTTCTGCAAATTGTTGCATATTTTGCCAGCAGAACAGATTATACTGAAGATTCAACATCAGTTTACATGCAAATGTACAGTAAGCTATTGATATGGCTAATTTTTCAGGGGAGGAACAACTTTTGGGCAGTAACTTTTCCTTCTGCTACTTCTTTACCCCAAAGTGTCATTATAACCTGCCCTTTGGGGGAAAAAACTTTGCTTTTATGTATCTGCTACTTTTTGCAAATTTTTGGAAGGCTACTGTGCCTCCTGAAATGCAAGAGGTACTGAATCCGATTAGTGTCTATGCCCATTAATTTAGGCGTGTAAATAAATACAAAAAAGGATGAAACTTTCAAAGAGAATTGTGCAAGATCGCTACGTTACCAAGTAGATTGACTATTAGAAAAGACGTGAGTGAAACAAGGAATGGCTTGAAAAGAATGAAGTGTCCTTACTGTTACAGCAACTACATTGGAGCCCCCAGGAGAATTCTCTGGGATCTTGGCGATGTAGTAGTCTGATGAAAATTTGGGAATGTTATCATTGGTATCCAAGAGATGAATGACAATATCAGCTGTTGAGCTAAATTTCTCAGGTGTGTTAACTTCTATTGCAAGAAGCTAAGGAAGTAAACAGGGAATTAGGAAATTGTTATTTAAAAAGTATAAAAGATTGCCATTTAAACTAATTAACATTTGTGTTCAAATGGTTACTATCTATAGAAAAAAGCCATTTTTCTTTGTCGTGCATTATGCGTAGCATTTTCCTCAATAAATAAAGGAACCAATATAATGTTTTTGACTCATTGTTTAACTGGGTACTCTTTATCTAGTTTTAGGACTTTAGATCATGTTTTAGGTCATATTTATACAGAAATGTTGAAAATTCAAACAGGTGTGCAAATTTTTAAGCATCAATGCATATATGGTAAAAGATACTGATAAGGAACATTCCAAGGAGTTGTAAAAAAGAAGCTGGTAAGTGCACATGTGTTGTAGGATGTAACGGTGCATAAGAGGTCACCCAACACATTGTCTGGTGCACATTCCTGTTTGGGAAGCCACAAATAAACTCTTCTTGGAAAATGATCCTGCCTCAGAGTCCTTTCCTAAAACAAATCTGGATCAAAATTTCCTTCCAATAGTCTCTCCACTAAAAATAATACTATGCATTATCTTGGTATTCTCTGATAAAAACTACAGGTTAAGGGTGTTAGAAATATGAGATACCACCATTTCAAAAATAGCTATCTATATTTTGTATGTAAAATTTCACATGCAGATCTGGTTAGTTAGTAAACATTTCACCTCCAGGACCTATGAAGTGGTTAACCTTTATTTTATTTCTTCCTCAAAAAGTTTCACATTCTGAGCTCAAGGCAGCAAAAACTGAGTCCATTCCCTCTTTTTAATTCAAGCTTTAATTAAAGAAAGCCAAAGTCATTACAATACCTTGAAGGTTAACTCCTGGAACTTCTCATAATCTATTGCAGCAGAATTTTCCACTATTATTGTGACTTGGGCTTCATTTAGGACAGTCTGAGGGACCACACGGAAAATTCCACCAAGCCCAACAAGGTGGAGATTAAATTTAGCATTTGCTCCCTGTGAAGAAAAGGTATGAAAACAAATTAGATCTCTTTATGGTGGTGTGAAACAGCATTGCTCCATTTCTCATACAGTGTGTGTCCATAAACAAAGCCTTCTTTTTATACTTTGCTTCCACATGCAAAGCCCCCCTCACCCAAATTTCCTTCTATCATTGGACTATGATCAGCACTCATCATATACCTGCTACTGAACACTTATAAGGATTTTACACATAACAGGAGATTTTGCATAATTTTACTTCCAGGAAGAAGGCAACTTCATGTTCTTCAAAGTTTTGGACTAGAACTCCCATAATACCTTGTCCTTGTTAGCTTAGAATGTGGGAACTAAAGTCCATAAACTCTACAGGTCATCATGACAGTTGACAGTTGGAGAGAGTTTCTCTTTTTTCCACCAGGGCCCTGAGGCTGGAAATGGCAGGTAGAATTATGATCACATTCCTGTTATTGGATACAGAATACTGCTTTTTTAAAAGATTTTTTTATCCTGCTTTTATTATTTTCATAAATAACTCAAGGTGGCAAACATATCTAACACTCCTTTGTCCTCCCCTTTTCCCCACAACAACAAGCCTGTGAGGTGAGTTGGGCTGAGAGACAGTAAACTCTTTCATGCTGCACGACCTAGCTAGCTTTTATAAAACATAGATCTAGTGGTTGTTGATTTACCCAACCTCAGTGCTGGAATTCCTCGTCTTGATGGGTGAACTGTGAGAACAACCTGGAACATAAGCTTCAGGGCTGAACATCAATACGAAACATGCAACCTAGTTGGCTGCAGCGAAGTTGCTGCAAGCCCAGGAAAGGTTAAAAAGTTAAGCTAAATCACAGGATGCAGGAATTGGGAATACTTTGTTGTCACTTGCATAGTCAGCCTCTATGCAATTCAGAATACAATGGGCTAATAATTTTAGTTCATAAGCTGGAAAGCCACTGCCAATGTCAAAAAGCAATATTAGATTATTTTATGGACTGTGCAGTGTTCTGGATTTGATACCCAAAAAGTGTTTTGGAACATGAATGAAACAACTGTCCGCATCTCTCTAAAGCAGCCATGTTTTTTCCCCAGCCACTGTGCAGGGGAGCTGTACAATCCCAGGAAAAGATGCAGCTGCTTTAAAGTGACACAGCCAAGTGCTCAGTAACTGTTGGACACTCTGAAGTACCTTTTCAAGACTGAACACGAAGCACTGCACAACCCTATTGTTTTATAAGGGTGTGGGCAGAGAATATGCTAAGCAAATAAACAATAAACAAAGAAGGGGAAAACGCACCAAGAGGAATGAAGTTTTGCAAGTCTCCACTTCAGGAAGCAGTTCTATTTTAATTTGGCTGCTTTTTGTAACAAGGACAGCAACAGTTGTGAGACTCTGCCTCAGAAGCTGTTATTTTAACTTCTGGGAAAGACCCTAAGTTTTGTATTATCTATCTATCTATCTATCTATCTATCTATCTATCTATCTATCTATCTATCTATCTATCTATCTAGTGCCCAACTCATGAGTGTGACTCTGAGTGGTGTATTGTCAAATAAAGTAGTATATAGAGAGCCAGTTGGTATAGTGGTTAAAGTACTGGACTAGGAACTGGGAGACTGTGAGTTCTGGTCCTCCTTTAGGCATGGAAGCTGGCTGGGGGATTTTGGGCCGGTCCATCTCTCTCAGCCCAACCCTTGTTAGAGGGTTGTTACTGTGGGAAAAAATAGGAGGCCGGAGCATAAGGTACACCATTTTGAATTGTCCAAAGTAAAGAGAGGGGATAGATCTAGTACATAAATAATGTAGCCATGTTGGCCCACCTTCTCTGCCTCTTAATCCAGTTTTAGTGTATAGCATGGTGTGGGAAGCCTGTCCTGAAACCAGAAGGAGGAGTCTACAGGCTGGATGACTACTGACCTGATCTGAGTCATTGACGGTAATTTTGAGGCCCCTCAGGATTTCACCTTCCAGTGGGTGCTCATACATGGTGAGTTCAAATTGGTTCTGTGGCCCACTTTCTCCATAGAAGGTTGGTGGGTGATTGTTCAGATCTACCACTCTTATGATGACGGTGGTGGAAGTGTGCGCAGGGCCAGTGTCTTCTGAACCAATTTCGGAAGCCTAGGGCAAAGAGGAAAGAAGAAGGATAAGGACTCTTGCCCACTCTCGTCCCCTTCTGGTTTTGTATTGTATTGTGGATGCTGTTCCTTCTGCAACACTTCCGTGAGCAGAAATAAATGAAGGTATTTTTGATTTTTTTAAAATAAAGCTTTAATGTTCAAACGAGTGAAGAGGTGAAATAGTTATTTGCCAAAACACTTTAGTGTAATGAGATCCATTCTTGTGTTATGATATACTATCTTCTTTTTTAAAACATTGTTCTCGAGCTATAGATTTTCTTGGTAAGTTTATATAAAATAGTCAGGAGAGGAGAGGAGAGGATCCAGGATCATATAATTATACTTCTACATCTATCTATCTATCTATCTATCTATCTATCTATCTATCTATCTATCTATCTATCTAT